GCATTCTGGGAGCATGTTCTGGTGTAGGCAAAGGTGGACAAGTTTAGGCTGTACCAGGGCCTGCCAACAAAGAACAGAGGCACACCAGCTTGTGATACTTGGCTTAAAAGTCTTTCATTAATGAAAGCTTCAGTTTTTATTTTAAGATTTATGAGACTTAATCTCTTAACATTTCACTGTTATTTTCTACCAAAATTGAAGTTTTGCCACAAACTTGCTTCAAATTAGAGTTTTGAAACCTATTTAATTTGCTTAGCTTTTTAATGTCTCTTCATGTAAGGGAATGCAGATCAGCAATTGCAGTATGGGCCTGGAAATTACTAGGTATTTCAACAAAGCTGTAGGTTTAAAACACTTGCATGTTTAGCATGTACTTAACTAGAGCAAAATTGAGTTCTTAATGGATTTAAACTTCTTGGCTTTTGCTGTCATTGTCCTGGCTGGGATCCACAGAAAAGACACCAGGATACAGAATATGTTTTAATTTGCCTCCAAACTGAGCAGGATGCCAGTTGAATACAGAGGTAGCTATGAGTTAGAAGGGAAAAAGTGTTTTTTATGTCACTTCTGAAATAAGTTAATTTTTTTTGGTTTGTTTTTCCTTCTCTTGCCATTTGGGGCTGGAGCAGGAAACAGGAGGTGTACTTTCACAGTCTCCCTCCATACAGGGAAAAGTGCCAAGGTGCTCTTGCTCAGAGTTACACATGAGCCATGCATAGTCATCCTGCCACATACTTCTGTGTAGAAGCTAAATGTTGGGTCATTTTTAATGTGCTGTAGAAATCTCATGTGACTTGCTCAAGGTCACTCTATGGGCCAGAAGCTATTAGGAGTAAGCAGTGAATCCTGCTACTCTGACTGGAAGACCAAACTGTGTCCCCAAAACCTGCAGATAAGGGGAGACCTTGCTATGACTGCACTGTGCATGGCACAGACCTGGTTTGCCTTCCCAATCTCTCTCAGGAGCTCCAGGGTGGTCACTGGGATATTCATGATAGCATTTTTTTCACCCTCAGCTGTTAATTGTCCCACTGTGATCCAACAAGTATATTGATACGAACAGCCATTAATATAAGACATCTGTCTCAAACTCTGTTGAAGAGAGTAAAACACATAAATACTGCTAGTACAAACTTCTGAAAATAAACTGGGTTTGGCACAGGTATTACTGATGAATGAAGCTCCTTTTATTTTGAGGGGAGTGAACACTTGAAGTCTGTTTTCATTTTAATGGAAACATTTTTTTGTCAGCCTGCCAATTCAAAATAAAGTTAGGAAAACAAGCCTAAAAATAGTGAAGGTGTAGTACAGCTAAGAACTTGTGAAAGCACTGAGTGAGCTAAAGCTAAATACTGTATTTTGGCCACAGTTGAGCACTTTTTATGTCTAAAAATAAATATGTAAATAATAAAATACAACTAACAGTGGTCTGTCGGACATGGTTAGATAACTAACTGACTGTATTTCAGGTAAATCCAGATCTAAATATTAACCTTGTTAAGAAGTGGCTTTAAATATTTTAAAAATCTTTATCTGGCATTAAATTGTTGAAAACCCCCAATCTGCCTAGGTGTTGAAATGGGTAAATTGTATCAGGAAGATAAACTTGTAAATATCCAGCTAAGCTCCTCTACTGTGAGGTCTCAAAATTAGATACATTTTAAAATGAGATGATTTTACTTCAGAAGGAGAAATGGACTAGATCTAAGCTCCTGAAAGAATGTAGCACTGAATGCTTCAGATATTTGTTTAGTGGTCATAGTAAATACAGTAAAATATTATCTACTTTGTGACACCTTTATGACTGCTGGCTGCTCACTTCCTGCTACTGGGTTTTACAGGACATGAAGTTTTGGGCTGTAAGTAATGAATAGTGTCTTTATTCACTAGTGCTGAAGAGAGTCATATTCATGTTTCTCTAGCTTTTAAAATGAGTATTTTTTAAATAACCAGGGAAGATGGAGCTCATACCAGGAATCCCTATCCATGTGAGCTCCAGATCAAGGATGTTTTCAGGCACTGCTTGTTGATCCAAGTTAGGGTTTTTTTTATGCAGTAGAAAAAAATCTTACAAAGTTGCAGCTAATAAAATTTCATGTTTATGTTAGTTTAGGACAAAAGTACTTAGGCTACATTATTTTGTGGGAATGTGGACTCCATAAGGAATAATGAAATCTGCAAATCTAAAAATCTGAAATTAATTACTGTATATTTTTAAAGGTCTTTCTCCTTTCTTAGGCTGATTTAAAGCCTAGAGCCAATGGACTGTAGGAGAGCTGAGTTTAGTCACTTGCTGACTGGGAGAATAAACTGAATGTGGGGTAGCTAGGCTGCAGTGGAACCTTTAGGAGATGCTAAGAAAAGAAAATGTGAATTTATTGTCTGAGAAGTAAAGGCCTTTGCAATTTGCAGTGACAATTTAAGTCTCACATTATCCTTTGTGGTCAGTACAGCAAATACTATTCATTTTGTAGATGCAACTACTTGTTTGAGGTTGCATGGCCAGTTACCAAAAGACCAGGAGAAGGCTGACAGGCACAACTGAAGCTGAACTTTTAACCTTTCTGAATGAATAATTGCCATGAATTGCAGCATACCCACTGAGATAAGGCAATAGCTGCCTAACCTCTTCAGCTAGGTCTCTATTATATGACTTTTTTCTCTTCCTTATTGCTTCTGTAGACTGTGGGAAATAAAGAATTCCCGTCTATTGCTGCTATATCTCTAGTGACTAGTGTTTTCTCACATTATTACAGTAAGCTCAATTAGTACAAGGTAGACCAAGATGATGATGAAGCTAGGGAGTCTGTGTTGTAGAAAGTGTCCCAGAATATGGAAGAAGATGGCTGAAGTAGTGCATGGCTATAAAAACTGTACTAAAAAATCTGCTCTGATTGAAACTTTACTTCTACACACTGAAGACAGTTTTTCATTAGTTCTTTAGAAAAATCTGTTTCTCTAGGTATGCACAGACATTTTTCTTCTCCTGGGAATATGTAGAAAGTCAGATATAAGATAAGGTTCAGACCTGAAGCCAAGTATGTCTCCAGATTCTGGTTACTTAATAAGCTGGAAGTCTTTAAATCAGAACTTGGAAGCAATATTTCTTTTCTTAAGCCTACAGTCAAGTTGGTAAAGGCAAGCTCAAAACCTCACGACTTCCATTTCATAGTATCTGTAAGTTAAAAGGGCTACAGTTCTGGGAATTCATGGTGTAATCCTGATGAAGCTTAACACTCTGTCTTTGAAGATGCTTCTGAAAGGAAGGGAACTTGGAAGGGAACAGTGAGATCGCTGAGTTTGTGTGTGTGTGTGGGGGTTATGTCCAAACTGGTGAAAAGTAAATATTGGAAGTTACTAGCACTGTTTTGTGTGCAGATGGCATCAACAAGAGCTGTCCTCTAAAAATCTGCATTTGCTGGTACTGAGAAACTGTAATTCATCACTTGCTTGTCTCAAACCACCATTTCAAGTACTGTTAAAGAACAATTGTGGTCAGCAGAAATAGCTTTAAAAGCTTTTTTAAATGAAACAGGTTTTCATCTCATATCTAAGTTTTATACAGTTGTATGTACATTATAAAACTAAGCTGCAGTAATTTACTCAGTGAGGGTTCTGATTAAACCCTTATTTGTGTTGCAGATAAACACAAACCAGTTCAACCTTTTTCAAAGTTGAAAATGACTGTGTACCTTCATTGCTGTGCTATTTGGACTATTTGATAGAATCACACGAAGAGTCAAATGACTGGCTTCCAGAAAAAGGGGGTGTGTGGATCAACCAGCCAAGCTGACTAATTTCCTTTGATTAACTCCTTACAGCCCAGCTTCTAGCAGCTCTGCAGCTTATGTTCTGCTTCCTGTTAGTGATTTCCGTCAAGACTGAAGTCTGTATTCTGTATTCTGAAATGCTTTGCGTTCAGGATGAATAATGGGACTTGCCAAAACTGAGGGTCCTTGGTCTGTGGTGTGACTGAATCAGGTGACCTCTCTTAGACTGGTTCTGGGGGCTTTCCTTCCTTAGAGATGCCTTGAGAACATATCTGGTGGGACTGCTGCCACCAGAGTGCTCTTTCATCAACGTGAAGAGCCACTGCTGTGGTGTCTGAGGCACTCCCTGTAAAGGGTGGATTGCCCTTGTGTCAGCAGCTTAATCCTAGTGGCTGCACTTCCTGAGTGGAGGCATCTTTTACAGATCTCGTCTTCATTTCAGTCAATTCCTGAGGCAGAAATGGGACTGGATGTATGTCCATCTTCTGTTGGGGAGGAAAAACTGCATATTCCTGATCTGTAAATATTTTTAAGTAATTTGTAAAGACATTTGTGATATCAGTTTGGAAGGACTTGCATTAATCTGAGGTTAATAACAGTTTATGAGCATTGGATCATCTGTACACTGAGGAGAAGCCTCCCAGTGAAGAAGACTTGTTATTGAAGACACTGTTGTCATCTGTTTCATCTGGTTTGATGCAGGAGAATGTGCAGAAAATACCATTCTACAGCAAAAGGTCACCAAAATAAAAAGTGGATTTAAATATTTAGCTTTACTTCTGAGTAGCACATACAATCAGGACTTTCCTTGAGATTTCATTATTAATTTGTTTCTTGGCATAGATGAGTACCAGCACTGCTGAAGTACCATAGAAGAGGAAATGCCAGATATAAAGTTTGCAGTAGCAAATTTAGGAGTTGCAGGTTCTTTAAATACCTGGAGCTCTATCTGTAGTTGGGATCAAACTCAGACAAACCAAAACTCTGACTATTCTGACCCCAAGTGATCTCCTAATATGTGGATGCTAAATTACATTATGTAAATACTTCGCATATTACAAATATCTATGTGGCTTAACAAATCTCTTCTAGAAGATATTTCTGAAATGTGTAGCTTCACCGATGTTCTTGTGGTTTAGATCCAGTAAGATAATGATTAATAAAATAGTAGTTTCATAGTTTTACTCTGTGTTGAATCCTGTTGCTAATGTGTGTGTTTAATTATTTTAGGAAATCTATCAGTGGTGTGGCTCATCATGCAATAAATATGAGCGACTGAAGGCTACTCAAGTTGCTGTTGGCATTCGGGACAATGAACGAAATGGAAGGTCTAAATTAATTACTGTGGAAGAAGGGAGTGAACCAGACCAGCTCACAGAGGTATTGTAACATGCAAACCAGTTGCTGACATAGCTGTGAACAAAAGTATTTCTACACCTCAGGAACTAAATAGGATTGGGCTGACTCCAGGGAGACAAATTTAGGTTATAGTAGACCAGTTTATACTTCTTTTCCTTCCTTATCCCAGCAGTGTTAAGTTTATTGGGCAATTAACGTCTGAGGTAGTTAATCATCTGAGAATACTTTTACAAGAACTTAGTGTTTGCTTTTTTGATTTAGCTGTAGGGGGACTGAATTACCAGCAAGGCTCACACCTGAGCCATACTATCTGCTCTGTGTGAGGAAAGAGCAGCATTGAGGTGTGACAGCACCAAACAAGGACAGACATAGAATTACTGTGTCTAGAAAGTAAAAAATGTAGCAAATTGCCAGTTGATGCAGGGGACCAAGCACACTGCTTTGCATAACCACTTCTATTCCAAATTCTTAGTCGCTGTAGCCTTTACTAGCCCTAGTGAGCCCCTTCCTTGTATGTTTAGAAAGTTTAACCATTTGCTTAAAACCCAAAATTTAGATTTCATAACTGAGCTGATCAAAGTAGAGTGAAAAAAATCCCCAATTCATAGTTTTCAGATCTTGAAAAAAATACCAAACACTGATGAGTTGTTGGAGGCCACATACTAATAAAAGCATTGTCACTTGGCATTTGTGTGCTAAATTAAGCTTTTGCCATTTGTTCAATAAAAAAAAAAGATGAGGTAAGCAGGCTCATAAAGCAGTCCTTCAGTAAAATGGAATATGTACAGTTAAAACATTGTCTTGTACTTCAGATTAACTCCATGAAGTAATACTAACACTGCATGCAGGTGTGCCATTACCTTTGGTGGTGCTGACATTTGGTGTCACACGCAGTATAACTAGTTATTGCCTAAGCAGCAAAGGGTGCCAAGTGCTGACTGCCAGCCCGTGCCCATGCTGGCTGTGGTGATCCCTTTGAATCATCTGTCCATATGCTTTCAAAGACTCTTTTCCTGTGGATCTGAGTACAGATGTGGCTGTGCTCAGAAATAGGGGAGGTGGCACCCAGTGCATTGGAGATTTTTGAAGGGGAAAAAAACCACCAAACTAACTAACTTTTTACTTCCTTGTACATACTTTTCACGTTGGCTCTGATGTGACACATATTTTACACCTGTAACTTCTAGGTAAAGAGCACAGGTTGAGCTCCTGATTTGAATCATGGCATTGGGTTGCAGCCCACTGCAGCTGTGGCTGGATGCCATGGGAGCCTGCTGGCACAGTCACCTGGTGCAGCTCCTGCTGCCAAGCCCATCCTGGGGTTAGTGCTGGAGGCTCTGCACAGAGCTTCTGGTAAGCTGGGAGCATTGACCAGAGCAGCTACACTTTGCACCTCTTATCAGACTAAGGTGCAGATGCAGATAAATTGGACTTCTATGCTACCACAGCGAGGACATGGGCCAACTGCAGGGATGGCTGTTGGGAGCCCAGCTGCCTCCCCCTGGACAGGCATTGAGTGGCAGGGGAATGCTGGCCATCTGCTTGCCAGAGTTTCATCTGTGTGTAAATGTTGGTTTGTAGCAACCTTACACATGATTAAGAGCAGAAAAAAAACACCAAGGTTGAATTTTGATCCTGCAGTGTATTGTTATTGTATCAGGGAATAAATCTTTTCTTCACTCGCGCAGTAGTGTATGAAGAAGTTTCTACTTTTCCTTTTGGATTGTGAATGTAGAGGGAGGAAAAATGGGTAGTTCAATGCACCTAGGTTCGTTGTTTTTATCACCACCACTGTAATGAGTCCAATTTGAGTGTGTTTGCAGTCAGGGTTTACCTTCTAGCCTGCATTGTGCTGGGTAGCCTTGCTTTTGGAAGTGCTACTCCCATAATGGGGTTTGCAGCTCATCTGTGGCTGTCCCAGTCCAAACTCTGAAATGTGCTGCTAATAAACCAGGAGGGTAGTTAATCTCACAAATATATAA